TTTATTTATGCAGGTTCATTATGGATAAAAGTTGGATGCGTAAATCAAGGTCATCAAGTGAATATGAAAATGGGGTAAACGAATTTCTTCATATGGCTTTCTCAAAGGTGTCTTCTAATGGAAAAATTATATGCCCATGTAAGTGTTGTAAAAATGGTAAATGGGTGACCAGAGAAATGGCTAAAGATCATTTGATAGTTGATGGGTTCATCAAAGGTTACACAAATTGGATTGCACATGGAGAAGGTGTAGAATCTAACCAAACTAGTCATCATTATGAGAATTTCGATATTACAGATGACATAAACAATTTGGTGCATGATGTTTATGGTGTTGATATTGAAATGGAAGAACCACCAAATGAGAAAGCTAATGAGTTTTATAAGTTATTGGAAGATGCCCAAACTAATTTATATCCTGGTTGTAAGAAATTCTCAAAACTTTCATTTCTTATTCGGCTCTTTCACTTGAAATGTATGGGGAAATGGTCTAACAAGTCATTTACAATGCTTCTTGAATTGTTAAGAGAGGCATTTCCTGAAGTCACCAAGTTATTGCCGACATCTTACTATGAGGCACAAAAGCTAATTGGAGCTTTAGGACTTACTTGTGAAAAAATTCATGCATGCCCTAATGATTGTATGTTGTATTGGAAAGAGCATAAGAATGATACATCTTGTCATGTTTGTAAAACACCGAGGTATGTTCAGGAAAAATCGAGTGAAATTGAAGAGGAAAATCAATCTGTTAATGTTAAAAAGATTCCAGCAAAAGTGTTGAGATACTTCCCTTTGAAACCTAGGCTGCAAAGACTTTTCATGTCATCTAAAACAGCACCATTCATGAGATGGCATGAAGAAGAACGTAGTAAAGATGGTCTCATGAGGCATCCTAGTGACTCACCTTTTTGGAGTGATTTTGATCGTAGGCATCGTGATTTTGCAAATGATTCAAGAAACGTGAGACTCGGTTTAGCAGCTGATGGGTTTAGTCCATTTAGGACTATGAGTGTTACACATAGTACATGGCCTGTTGTTTTAACCCCATATAACTTACCCCCATGGATGTGCATGAAAGAGCCATTTTTCTTCTTAACCTTGCTTATTCCAGGTCCCTCTTCCCCTGGAAACAATATTGATATATACTTACAACCTTTAATAGAAGAGCTAAAAGAGCTATGGAATGGGGTCAATACATATGATGCATCAAAGAAGCAAAATTTTTCTATGCGTGCTGCTTTATTGTGGACTATTAATGATTTTCCTGCATATGCAAATTTATCTGGTTGGAGCACAAAAGGAAAACTAGCTTGCCCTTCTTGTCATAAAGAAACGTGTTATATGTATTTGCATAATAGCCACAAAGAATGTTATATGGGTCATCGCAGGTTCTTAAATGATGTTCATCCCTATAGAAAGGATAAAAATTCTTTTAACGGTGATGTGGAAAATCGTAAGTGTCCTAAACCATTGACAGGAGATATGATATTAGAGGACTTATCTGGTTTGAACGTGGTTTTTGGAAAGATGGTTTGTGATAATCCAAGTTTGCCTCACAATTGGAAGAAGAAAAGTATATTTTTTGATTTGCCATATTGGAAAGATAATTTGTTGCGTCATAATTTGGATGTGATGCACATTGAAAAAAATGTTTGTGATAGTTTGCTTGGGACTTTGTTGAATTTGGATGGAAAGTCTAAGGATCATGAAAATTCTCGTCTTGACTTGCAAAATATGGGCATAAGACATGAGCTTCATCCTGTTTCTCTAGATAATGGAAAAACATACCTGCCTCCTGCATGTTTTGCAATGAGTAAAAAGGAGAAAGACTTATTCTTGGAAGTTCTGAAAAATGTTAAAGTCCCTGATGGTTATTCATCCAACATATCAAGACGTGTCCAGACTAAGCCAAACAAAATTTCAGGCCTAAAAAGTCATGACAATCATATTTTGATGCAACAATTGCTTCCTATTGCACTACGTAGGGTTTTACCGAGGCATGTTAGATCGGTTGTGTCCAAATTGTGCTTTTTCTTTAGAGAGCTTTGTTCTAAGGTTCTTGATGCTCGAGACCTTGTTCGTATGGAAAAAGAAATAGCCGTAGTTCTTTGTGACTTGGAAAAGATTTTTCCTCCCTCTTTTTTTGATATCATGGTTCACCTTCCTATTCATTTGGCATATGAGGCTCGAATCGCAGGACCCGTTCAATATCGATGGATGTATCCTATTGAGAGGTAAAAAATTACTCATTCTTTTTTACTTAGATGATAAAGATGTATGGCTTATTTATTTATTTGTTTATATGATGAAATTAAGGTACTTATCAACATTGAAGTCATATGTGCGGAACAAAAGTCGTCCTGAGGGTTCAATTGCTGAAGCATATCTGATGGAAGAATGTGTTACGTTTTGATCAAGATACTTGGAAGATGTGGAAACTAAATTTAATAAGGTGAAGCGAAATGATGATATTGCTGGTGTAAATGTGGCAGAGTTCCCCATCTTCTCTAATATCGGGCGAGCTATTGGGAGGAATGAATGTACAGTGTTGGATAAGGATATTCTAACCAATGCACACCGATACGTGTTGTTCAATTGTAGTTCTATTGAGTCATTTATCGAGTAAGTACTATGTCATTTTGTTAAAATTCATACATATATATTTGTGTGTTTGTGTGTTCTGTTTTATAACCCTAAATTGTACGCATTACATACAGACAACACAAGCTGGTTGTTAAGCATCAAAATTTGCGTCTTCCAAAGAAAGATATTGAACGTATTCACTGCGAGACATTTTCTGGTTGGTTTAGCAATCATGTAAGCCATTGTAATATTCAACTGTATTTATCTATTTAGTTTGCTTTTTTCACATAGTTTTTTTTTTCTAATGATTTTATTTTTCTTTTTGTAGATTGAAGAGATGTATCTTCATGGAAATAAAATATCAGAAAAACTGAGAGCATTAGCACGAGGCCCAAATCCAGTTTGCAAGAGATATAGGGGATTCATTGTTAACGACTTTCGGTTTCATGTCAAAAGATTTGAGATTCGAAGAAGAACCCAAAACTGTGGTTTGGTGATTGATGCGCAGACAAGTAGTTTTTCCAGTAGACATGATAACAACCCTATCATTGGTGAAGTGTCCTATTATGGGATTCTAAAAGATATCATTGAACTGGATTATCCAATTGAAGGGGGGAAAATCGTGATGTTTGAGTGTGATTGGGTATCCCAGGGAAGAGCTCTTAAGCGTGATAACAATGGTTATACTTTGGTTAATTTTTCTCTAGCAAGGAAACATAGTGAACCTTTTATACTAGCATCTCAAGCGCAACAAGCATTTTATGTGGAAGATCCGGTCGATAAAGGATGGCATGTTGTTGTAAGAGCGAAAGCTAGGGATACATTTGATATGGATCCAGTTTTTAGCTTAGATGTAGAAGCACCTGGTCCAAGTGATAGGCCATTAGATTTAGGCTTTGAAGAACCTGAGTGGACTAGAGAAGATGCAGAAGGAACTGTTATTTGAGATATTTGCATATTAATGTTTCATTTTATCAATTTTTTGAATTTTAAATGCGTGGTTATGCCTTTTAGGTTGGACTTAATCTGTTATTTTTGTATACCAATGCATATGTCATTTATGGTGAGTTCACTTTTCTCATATTCTTTTCATTTTTTTATGTTATCTCCTTCAACTTATTAGTCATTTATAATACTTTTATAGGTAAGGCCTCTCCCAACCAAACCACGAACGAAACGTGCCAGAACAAATGTTGTGGAACAAAATTTGCATTTATCTGGTGGTACTTGTGCACATGAAGGTCAGGCTTAATCATGTACTTATGTTAATGTTTTGCATGTTTTACTATATTCTTCGAAATGACAAAGGGTTTACCAAATTTTTTTCAGAAGGATCATCACTACCGAATGTTGGTTTGAATCAATGTGCAACAAGTGTTCCACATGCGGCAGCCGAACAAGTGAACTCTGCAGCATCTCTTGGAATGAATATACTTGAGAATGAGCATATTGATATTGATGTTGAACTTGAAGCTACAACTCAAACAGGTAATTACTAGTAAGATAAATGAATATAAACATTTTTGGAGAAAAAATAACTATTTTCCTTATATTCAGGTAATTACTATTTTAGGTAATTACTATTTCCTGTATAGTAATTATGATTTTTCTTGTCATTTATGGAGAAAAATACCTATTTTTCTTATATAGTTGGGAATAAAAAAAAGCGTGGGCCTACATTTATGCCTAAAATTTGGGGACAAGCAGTCGATGACATGAAACCTGTAGCGTTCAATGATTTAGGACAACCAAATGATGAGAAAGCATCGACTCTTGCACATTTTTTGGGTTCAATTGCTAGAAATGGAAAATTTTGTCCTCTTCACTATAAAGACTGGAGACTGATGCCTTCTTCTTACAAGGATGAGATGTTAAAAATTGTTAAGGTACATCTTTGATCATATTAATTTTTTTTCTTTCTTCAGTATATTTATTATCAAATTGTGTAATTATTTTTTGGAAGGCAAAATTTGCTATACCTGTGGGGAATGAGCCGTATATCCTGAAATCAATAAATAAAAAGTGGCGGAGTTGGAAGAGTTTTGTGAAGACTATGAAATTTGATCCTTGTGTTCCTCTTGAGAGACAACTTTCAAGAAAACCTGATAGAGTACAAGATGAACAATATAAGTCCTTAATTGAATATTGGATGTCTGACAAGTCTAAGGTATATGTCTCGATTTAACTTATGATATTTTTTTTTTTGGTTTTGTTTGATGATTTATTGTTCTTATTTGTAAACAATTTAGGAAATCAGCAAAAAGAACAAAGAAACTCGTGCTCAATTGGAGTTGATTCATCGCATGGGCAAGAAAATCTATGCATTAGTGAGAGAAGCTTGGGTAAATTATATTTAGCAGACATTTTTAAGTTGTAATTATTTCAAAAAATAACTTTTTAACATATGTGCAGAAAAAGAAGAAAGGGGAATACCCATCGAAAGTGGATTTGTTTAAAGAGTGTTATTATCGAGTTGGTGACCCGCGTATTAGTGCAGTAATCCAAGATGCTGTTGTGAGTTCACCCTTCAACAACTGTATCCATCATAATTTTATTTTTATTATTTTTATAATATATGATTATTATATATCTTATGGTAACAGGAACAGATGGAAGACTCGGATGAACATGAACAAGAGCTTGATGGTTCAAATGACACCAATGGTCTGGATAAAGCTAATGAAAAATTTGAAATGGTGATGGGTAAAGACAAGAATGGGTATGTGCGTTTGTGTGGTTTAGGAGTGAGTCGCTCAGATATTTATGGACCACTTCCAAGTCGTGATGCAAGTTATAGACTTGCAATGGAGTACAAAATGAAATATGACGCTTCTCTGGATTATAAAAGAAAATATGAGGCTCTATTAACAAAACTTCATGGAGGAGAGCTAGGTGCTGGAGAGTCGAAGAAAAGTGGTGAAGAGTCTGATGCACTCAATGTCCAATTTGCTTCTTCAAATAGCCGCCAATCACCTGGATCAACATCGCGCTCAAGAGATATACGGGTACTAGGATATCTTACACATTTACATTTTTTTTAAACATCCATTAGTTTTGTCAAATGACAAGAATATTGTGTATTACAGGTGCATTCTAGAGTTGTTTTAAAAAGTTTGGAGAACATAAACGAAGTAGTTGCTAGTGGTTATGTTATCTCTATGGATGTTGTAAGAGTGAATGGTGAAGACTTGGGTAAAGGGTGGTGTGAGATAAGTGTTCAGCACCGAATGAAAAATTACGTTCATCTTATCAAACCATATGATCATATACAAACGATAGGTGACTCTCTTGGAGCTCCTGTGGCCTGGCCTTTGTCTTTGGTATGTGTAGGCATATTATTTTTTGTTGATAATACATTTAAATTAGCTCTTAAACATTTATCTTTCTTTGTTTAGGTCGATTTGGATCAAAATGATGATTGATGAGACAATGGTGGAGCTTTTTGATTCTAAGTGTTGATGCACAAGTGGGGAACTTTTGAGCAGTTAGTTTTTTGCTACACATGTGACCTTTTATCTTTTTGAGTTTTGGTTTAGTTGGATTTGGGAGCCGAAAACTATGTTAGAATTATTTTGCTAGTATTGTTTTACGACTCTTGGAGTATTATTTTTTGCATGGCATTTTATGAATGTAGGAAGCTCTAAACTTTGTTACCTACATTGTAAACATGACGGAAAATTTATGTCATTTTTAATATTTTGCTAAAGCTTTGTTTCTGATCACATGTTTTAGATTTATAGTATATAGTGAGACTCATTGGTGATTGACTCAAGAGCATATTATTAGGTATTAAAACAATTGTATGTATCCTTTTATCACTTTTTAGAGACATTTAAAAGTCATATTAAAAATACATGAAATTGTATTAGGACATTTATTTGTGTTGTTAAGTAATTTGGGGACATATTTTGTGTCTCAAGAAGCGTCGCAATAGATGCATTAAATATATCAACCACTAGGAGACATTTACATATGTCACAAAAAATGATGCTAAAGACACTTTAAGCATCTCAAGAGATTAATATTAAGACACTTAAAGTGTCTCGAAAAAATACTACTTAAGACATTATAAACTATCCCAAGATGTTAATATCTAGACACTTGGAGTGTCCCAAAAATCACTACTAAAGTTACTTTAAGTGTCCCAAAATGTTACTATCAAGACACTCAAAGTGTCCCATAAAACACTACTAAAGACACTTTAAGTGTCTCAAAATGTTAATATCAAGACACTTAGAGTGACCTAACAGATATTACTACCTTATTTACAAAACCATTTTAAGACACTTAAATGTATTGTGAAAACATTTGGAGACACGTACAAGTGTATTATAAAGGTAAATAATGGGACATTTTTAGTGCCTCAAAAAAGTGTCCCGAAACTTTACGCAACACCACAACATGAGACATTTATGCTAAATATCCCAATAGGTAGAAGTGTCCCGATATATAGTAATACGGGACACTTTTCAGTGTCCCAATAGACAATTTTTGTTGTAGTGCGATAAGTAAAAAAAAGTACGTAAAATCTTTACTAAATAAAAAAGGCTTATCTAATTTATTATCTAATTGTATGAAAATTTGTTCTGATTTTATAGTACGTACTACAAATTGTGCACCCGTATTCAGGAGCTACTTAACGGGAAAGCTCTGTGGAAATAACTCATTTATTGCTTTTGTCCCGTGCATACGATATGTATTTGTATTACACATACTAGAAAATTGTGCACCCCGTGCATCACACAGATTTTTTACTAATAAATGACCTTAAAATTGTGTGCCCCGTGCATCACCCGTGTTCACATTTTGGCCTATTACAGGTCACGTACTATATATATCCCGTACATTTTTCTTTATTCATTTATATAATTATAAGACTTGATAAATAACCTTAATTTTGTGCACCACGTGCATCGCACGGGATTTGTACTAGTTTTTAAATAAAACACTAATAAATGTACCCAAGTTATTAGTATAAATATGTACTTTCTAAGAAATTATAGTTGTTCAACTATTAGGCAGACTAACAATATAAATCGTGTAATGAAATGTTCATTTAAAAATAGTGGCCTATAATTACTATACTAATTATTATTTACTTCGTTGTTTTTAAATAGTAGTAATGCAAGTGTAAGCGTTCTGGCCCGGAATGGGGTAGATCGATTCTTGTCCTCGCCGGTAGAACGCCGGAAACCTGCAAATAACTCTCACATCGGGGTTGTGTCCGGTGAAGAGCCTCCGATGCTTAAGTCAGTATGTGTATGAGTATACTGAAGAGAGTAATGGAAAATCGTGTTAAGGAAGAAAGGCTCACCCCCTTCATATAGGGGTGAGATACCTGACCTAATAGTTGCCCTGATAAGGTGAGTTGGCTGCCCAAGCTGCCCCTCCGTACTCTGACACGCCGCGCACATGTCAGAGGTGGCGCGGGACGTTGGGAGCTGTCAGAGGTGGTTGTCGCTATCAACCAATACGTTCTCGACACGTGTCCTTCTACACATGGAGTGAATATTCTCCTGAAATTCTGTTAGAGGCTCTCACACGCGCCTGTGACTAGGCGATCCATAGAGTGTTAAGTCCGCGAGATGATCGACCTGTCGAGGTCGACTAAGTTGCTCGATCGCTTATCTGGTCGAATAATGGATTGGTCGACTGCTTGACTGGTCGACTGGTTGATTAATCGATCGTCCTGCCACTTGGCTCTGCTCCTTTACGGTACGACCTCTTCGACCGGTTCAGCAGACCGGTTGAACCTTGTGGGTATAATATCCCATATCAAGTAGACAATAATTTCTCTATGAATTATTAAATATTTCATTTAAAAATATTTAGATATATTTTTCCAACCGCTTAGTAATGTTTTAGTTTATACACATTGAAATAAGAGTATAGAAAGTAAATATATATGTACATATAGATCATGGATGATCATACATGTTTCATACTACATATTAGTCATACAAAATTATTTGTAGGTTCGTTCCAATTATTAATTTATGTCGCATTTCAATTGTATGGATACTGCACACAAAATAAAGAGGGATATTATATTTAGATGTATTAGTATAATATTTAAATAATTGTAATCATTCTTCCAGTGTGATCAAATGACACTCTAATTTTTTTTGTATTCAAAATTTATACTTTTAAAATATAATATATAATTTTAAATATGTTAACACTCTACTGTAATTTTCCTATTGTTACTTCATCATGTAGCCATAATTAGACGTAATTTTATTTGAATATCTTAATATAATTTTAACTTACACACAATAAAGCTCCCAAAAACTATAGAAACAGAAAACAAATTATATATTTTTTTGTGAACAAATAAACATATTGTTAACTGAATATACACATAATAATAACAACAACAACAACAACAATAATAATAATAATAATAATAATAACAATAATAATAATAATAATAATAATAATAATAATAATAATAATAATAATACGACAAAATCATTCTGGTTTTGCAACGCCCCACTTTGATTTAACGAAAACCCATGGTTTTTCGGAAAAATCAATTTAATTCTTCAGACTCATTTCAAACATTTGAGGCGTTACTAATTTATTTCCAAAACATTATCACGTATATCAAAATACTTAGTCATAGCAATGACATCAAAACATATTCCAACACCTTATCAAAGGTTTCATCCCAAGTCATAACTACCCAAATCGGGTTTTCAAAATTTCGAAAATAAAGACATCATAGTGTTAACAAAGCATCTCCCCAAACAATGTTTTAAACATGAATATCCAAAGTTCATAAATAAACTCAAATAGCGAAAGCAATACAATCAATGGTCTAGTCATCTAGACCGACCACCACTCGTAGAGATGTCAAAACGGACCTGGGCCCGCGGGCCGGCCCGCCCCGCCCCGCCAAACAGGCGGGTTGGGCTGATATTTTATAGGCCCGCCAAATGGCGGGCCTAAACGGGCTAGCCCGCGCGGGCCGCGG